TCGGGGGCGACTGTGAGGACTGGGGCCTGAACGGCTGGAAAAAGTTGATTTTGTTTGGTGAGATCGGCGAGTCTGTAAGAGGAGCCGCTAAGGGAGGAGAAGCGCAGAGATTTGGGGGTGCAGGTGCCAAGTTTGTCGCTTACCCTGCATCTGATATTGAGCAATTCACTGAATATACAAGTCTGGAGATGGATGTGGGGAGAGGTGAGCGTCAGAGCCGTCAGTTTATGGAGGGCGTCTAAGGCCGTGCCTCCTGGTGGGAGAACCTAGTAAGCACAGACAGAAGAGGAAAGGGGCCCGGGGACTGCGCCCTGGACACTCCCCTGTTAAAACACCCAAGTGAGGTGGAGGAGCTACCAAGTGGGCGGAGACACGTAACCAGTGAGCCGCAGGTAAAGCCGAGAAATCACACTCCTTAAACCAAGTGAGGGAGAATCAAGAGAAAGGGATGACCAATTGTGTTAAATCCTTTCGACAGATAAAATGCAGAATAACATGGGAAACTTGAGCATTGGGTTTAGCAATAAAATAACATGGGGAAATTGACCGCTGGATTTAGCATTATGGCGATACAGAGTCTTTGGAGATTGAGAATCTAAAAGCCATATATATATATATGTATATATATATATATATATATATATATATAGAGAGAGAGAGAGAGAGAGAGAGAGAAACAATTATAGAAATACATTAACATGTTTACATTTCTTTTTTGTGTGATATCTCCTATTTGATTGTTCTTTTGTGATTTTATTTCTATTTGAATAAACTATTGATGTCAGCTCTACTTGAAGATAGTTACCCTTTGTATTTCATTTAAATGTTTTCTCTGTGGCCTGGTTGGTTTGGCTCAGTGGATTGAGTGCCAACCTGCAAACCAAAGGGTCGCAATTTGGTTCCCAGTCTGGGCACAGGCCTGGGTTGCAGGCCAGGTCCCCAGCAGGGGGCGTATGAGAGGCAACCACACATTGATGTTTCTCTCCCTCTCTTTTTCCTTCCCTTCCCCTCTCTAAAAATAAGTAAATAAGCTCTAAAAATGTTTTCTCTGTTATGCCTTTTACTTCTAGTAATGACTGGTATTCATCATCTCATGGTTCTATGATTTCAAGGTGACGTGTACGTAAGAGCCACTACCATCTGATTGAATGGTTTTCTGTGAGACATTTTTAAGTTCAGTGAAGATCTTCGCAGGCCCCAGTCCCTGTCTTTTAAGATAATGGTCCACACATCCAAATATAGTAGATAAAAGCAGCAAGATAAAAACAGAAACTAGCAAGGATAAAGTATTTGCTTTAGCAGGGCAGCCTATGCCTTAAGAAATTCTTCTGTTGTCATTTTCTTCAGTAAGGTTTAAGTTCCTGCTGGGGGATAAAAGAAGGGTGAAAAACACTATTAGCAGACTCGTTAGCTAGGTGGCTTATTGCACTTGGGAGGAGCAACAGTCTGTTAGTGGCCCTCATGGCATTTATCTGTCTTACTGAATTCTGCGTGTTGTGTCTCTGCTGAATCACAGAGAGAAGCATGAAACAAAGAAATCACACAGAGTAAATCACTATCAGTGAGCTAGCCTTTTATACTGTTAAGGTGAAGAATGGGCATCACCTGTCTATATGCTTTGGGTCTCTCTCGTGTTTGTAAATAAGACGAGATGAAACCTTCGCTCTGCACCGTTATCATCCTTCTCCCCGATGCCCACAGCATTGTCTTGCACAGACCGGCACCATCCCGGCCTCCCGCTGGGGAAGTGGCCCCGTAACTTAGACTCTCATCCAGCCGCCCGCACCCTCCCTCATTCCTGCCCTCTCCCGCTCCAGCCACCTTTGGAAAACAGTCCCTTACGGCCAAGGGCAGCTGTGGTCTCAGAGATGCGAACCGGCCTTCACGGTGTGCGGTGCTCTCCCGTCACTTCAGACGTCTCCCTGCCTCTCTCGTCTCCCTGCTTTTCTTCTCCCCATCGCCTGAGTGTGGACATGATGTGTATCTCTCACCCTCTGGTTACGATCTCACTTACCGGTAACTTTTCACACAGTGTCCATTGTTATGAAGCCTTTCGGTCTCTTTCTCTTACACACTGGCTCTTTCTGGTTCTTTTGTTTTTTCTAAATTTTAAAAATGTTATTGCATTTATTCAGGTGACATCGGTCAATTAAAATTATACAGGTTTCGGGTATAGAGTTGTGTAGCCCATCACCTGTATGTTGTGTTCTGCGTTCGCCGCCCGGCGTCACCGTGGAGCTTCCCCTCACCCTCCTCCACCTCCCCCACCCCTTCCAGGTCCTTCCATGGCATCCTGCACTTGACCTGTGGTGTCAGTGACTGTTCTCTAACGTCCACACGCGGACTTTAAACCTCTTGGGGCCTCGATGAGTTTGGTGTCCGCATCGTGGCCCATATAGCACATGTTTAATGAATATTTGATGAATAGTTGATCAGTTGAATTAAATATCCTGTACGTGTAGGATTCGTGAGGATATTGCTTTACCTCCCCCGACCTCTGTCTACTTACAACTTGTAGCTGAACTTGGGCACCAGAACGTCAGCCCTTTCTGAACTGTATTTTGTCCAGTGTGGGTGGCAAGTACTGTCAGAGTCCCGCATAAGTATTAAGGTGCCTGCACCGCTCAGGGAGAGTTTGGAGCACCGCCGTGGTGACAGGTCAGTGCCCACAGCCTGGGGACACTGGGAGGCGGCGCACTGGTCAGATCTGTGCCAACGGGGGCAGAAATGTGATCAGTAGTGACACAGGTCCACAGACCCTTGGTCATTGCTGTGCCCAGTCGTCCCCAGAGAGTTCTGATAAATAGTCCTTCCCCGTAAACTGCCCCTTACATGGTCACGTAGCGCCTCGACATCTGTGGAGCGTCAGCCCCAGTAGGCACCTCTCCAGAACACCCAGGTACCATGGCAACAGGTGCCTCAGGAAGTGTGAGATGGGCTTTTAAGTGTGGTACCCAAAAGTACGTTTCAAGACGATTCAAAACTAGTGTGTTATATGATGAAAAGTTGTTAACAACTTTAGTCTTGTATACACGCTGTGTTTTTGGCATGAGTCTTCTTAGAGGTCAGCATCCTGGTTTCTTTTTAAAGCATACTGAGATCTGTCCAGAGAAAGTCCAGTCATTGTTAATATGACAAGAACAGTTTGAACAACATGTATGTTACCTGGCAGCCACAGAGGGTGGACTGGAATGTGCAGGTATGAACACTGATGACTTCACTGTACTAGTCAGCGGGGGCAGTCACTGTTGAGTGAGCACGTGCACTGTGTGGCCGTCACATTCAAAATGACTGAGCGAGTACAGCAATGAATCTGCATTACATTTTTCATTAAGCTTGAACATCCATCCATGGAAACTATTCAGATGCTTCAGAAGTCACAGCTGTGGGCAGCTGGTGATTGGCAGCTTCATCACGACAATGCGCCCGCTCATGCATCACGTCTCGTGCAGAGGTTTTTGGGGAAACATCAAATCACCCAAGTGACTCAGCCCCCCTACAGCCCAGATTTGGTGCCCTGCAACTTCTGGTTTTTCCCAAAACTAAAATCACCTTTGAAAGGGAAGAGATTTCAGACCATCAGTAAGATTCAGGAAAATAGGATTGGGAAGCTGATGGCGATTGGGAGAACTGTGTGAGGTCCCAAGGTGCCTACTATGGAAGCGACCGAGACATCATTGTCCTATGTACAGTGTTTCTTGTATCTTGTATCTTCCTCAATAAATGTCTCTTTTTCGTGTTACATGGCTGGGTAGCTTCTGGACATACCTCTTACATTGGAGACAATCATATAAAAGTTAGTCAAAGTTCTTTTATCTCTAGATAATCAGTATATTTGTGTATAAGGCTGTTAGAAGCACTGATACTCTGTGATCCATAAGAGTTTGAATGGTTGAATGATGGCAGGTGGGGGCATTTTAGAGAGACTTTGAAATTGAGTGAATTTCTGCTTTGACACGTAGTGTCCGGGAAGACAAAGTGCCATCTCCCTTTGACCAGGGACTGAGTCCACGGGGCAACAGGTTGGCCCTCTTGAGAAGATGCACAGAATTTTTAGTTTTCTGTTGAGTTGGAGTAGCTAATTCCACAAACAACTACAGAGCTAATCCTCATGGTGGTGGAGACTCTTTCTGGAGCACACGAAAGCAAACCATCTCTTCCTCATGCCATGTGCGTGGCAGCGGCTCTGGACGCCAGGGCTGTGTGCAGGAGCGCTGAGACGTCCAGGGAGGTTCACTCCTCCACAGTCAGGTGTTCTGAGTGGGAGGGAATTCTAGCAGGTCATGAAGGTGTGTTATGTTGAGAGGGAGAGAGAGAGAGGGGGGCTGACTTAGGAAGGTAAGCTCTCCAGTATGAGTTGGGGGAAAATATAAGGGGCAGCAAAGAGAAATGAGATTACTGTGGTAGAATGAGAAACACCACTTTTGGGAATCCCCTCCCTCTATTTAGTAACTGTGACCTTTGAAGTACTTCCAACTGTCTGGCAGATCCCTGTTTCTAGAAATAGGTCGGGAGGATATTTGGGAAAGGTCTCTGAACCGACGCCTGCTGTGCCTACTCCCCTCCCCCCCTTCCCTCCTCCCCTCCCCTGCCCCGCCCCAGTCTGCTGCACGCTCTGAACTGCCATGAGGGTTCCATAGCGTGAAGCTGGGACTGTATGTGGAAGGGACTAGACAAAGTGTGGGTCTTGGTTTAGGGTTGTCGACCTGGGTTTTTTTAAAAAAACAATAGTCTTCTTTAATCTTTATGTGTTTTCCAAATCATGATGAATGCTGACTGATAGTTGACTAAGCTGGTGAATTATTAGCTTGGGATGTGGAGTGCCCCCCATCACAGTGTGGTCACCAGGACTGTCGCTTTGACGTCCCAGTCACTGCTGAGACAGACTGCGTGTTTCTCCTTCTGAGTACGTGAGTTTTCTCTCTGGTCCTTATGATCATAGTGTTAAAAATGAACAAGTCAGCGGTCTTAATTAGTTAACTTAGAACTCTTTCTTTCAGCTTTTTGCCGGAATTCATCAGTGGAGACTTTGATTCTATCAGACCCGAAGTTAGGGAATACTACGCTGCCAAGGTAAGCCATGAACAGTTTTAAAATGCTTCTCATCTGATTGCTTCTCCTACGTTCTTCCTGGTTTTCTTGGTGTATGCGTACGGACTGAGAAAGTCATCGGTTATTTTATAAAAAATTTATAACAACTGTAGTACACAGTCAAATGGAATTTTTAAAAACAAATAGCGGAAACACGATTGTACAAATTGCCACCATCAGATAAGAATGAATGCGGAATACTTTAAGCACACATGTTTTACACAAGTTTAAAGTTTATGGGCTAATGTAACACTACACTCTTATTACCTACATCCTCGTTAGTTGTTATATATGTTTCAGAAATCACTTTTAATTTTATGTACCGAGTGTACTGTATTTTACTTAACCAATTTTCAACTGATTTACATTTGTTTCTATCTTTCTGCATTGTGAACTAATAAAAATCTTTGTAAATGAATTTTTATTAAAAATGCATAATCAGAGAACCACAGCTTTTTCTTTAGTATTTAGATTTTTGAAACTATTGTCCTGTTCTGAAGAAAACTATTCATTACCACTTGAATCAGCAGTAACATAGAGCTGACGGTGTTCATTGCATTACTGCGCTTGTGAAAGCCTTTCCTGAGACCCCTGCCTCTGAGGAGGAACACACAGGCGGTGTAATGGAGAGTGGTAGGAGACACACAGGAGTATTACAGTGGTTAATTATTTAAGCCTTCGCTTGCTGTAGAGGACGATGCACAGGTTTAAAAATAAAAAGTATAAGGTCAGCAGTTCTAGCCACAGTACCCTCATCTGTGTTACTCTGAGCTGGCAGATTACACCGATCTTCAAAGAAACAGCAGTTGTTGAAATATTATAACTTGAAGCTCATCATGAGGCTTGGGGATGGATGAGAGGAAATCAAAGTGAAGAAAGAGGAACGCTTTTGAAGGTAGGAAGGAAGAAGAAAGGAAAGGGGAAGAGGGCGGTGTGGCTGGGGGTGGGGGGGCCGAGTACCGGGCTTCCCAGCCTAGGCGGCTGTGACGGACACTCCGGGCCTGGCAGGGAGCGCAGTTCAGCGCGGGCCCCATCTGCCCGCCAGCCGATGCAGCCGCCCCTCGGCCCGTGGAGACTGTTTCCCAAGTCGGTGCTGGATATTCAGGCTCCATTGCTTTGGCATTGGCGTGTTTCTACTCATCCCCACAGTCTCACTTCTCGTTCGTTAGCTGTGTGCCTCGCCCTCACTGGGATCCAGAGCCCTCAGCCTCGCCTACAAGGCCGGGTTTACAGATGCACAGATACTCATCATTTTGGGGGGAGAGGCAGGGACAGGCAGACTCAGAAACAAACCGAAGATCCGGCCCGACGGGACCTTTCTCCTCCGCCCGTAAATGCTGCCGGCTTGCCGGAACCGCATGGGTCAGTCGGACCCCATCCCGGATGAGGAACTGACAGGACAGGAGGGGGCACCGGCTTTTTGGTTTCTGAGTGCAGTACGATGGGGTCAGGGGTAAAAGAACGTTTTGAATTAATACCTCCTGCTGAATTTCTCTGATATTTCCTGCTTTTTTGTTTTGACCTCAAAACTAACATGTTTGTTAAGGTTTAATCTTGAAAGGAAGGTTCGCCGCATCTTCTAATTCCCACACTGCATAGCCGTGAGTTGATACCGTACAACCCAGTCCTCACACACTGCTGAGGACAGTTTTCCAGCTTTCTGGATCTGGCCCTGCAGGGCCATGATGACATCTGTGATGGACCCACTGTGCCCTGTGTAGGTCGGGTGACAGTTCAGCTGCAGTTTTAATAATGTTGATAATGACAAGAAGTTAATGCAGCATTACACACAATCCCTATAAGCCATTATCTCCAATTTCAACAGTCTTTCGGCTGTGCTGGTACAGATTAAAGGACATTACACTCACTTTCAAATACACTTTTCCTCCCACCTGGTCTGGATTTCAGCGGACACAAGACTGGGGCTCTAATAAAGTTGAAAAAATAGAAAAAAGAAACTGGAAATGCCGAAGGTTTGTTAAAATCATAAAATTATAAAGTAGGTGCTATAGTCAGCATTTATTCATATAAGTTATTTTCTGCAATAGGTATGTCTTTGATTTACAGAAGAAAATCCAGGTTTATACGACTAATCAAAATTTTAAATTGGTTTGCCTGCTTGATTTCTTAGAACACTAAAATGTGAAGTGTTTTGTCCGCTTGATTAGTCAGCTTCTAAACAGATCACGTCATAGCCCACGGCTTGCAGGTGGTGGTACAGGTTGCCCTTGTGCAGTGTGAAGGTCATGGGCACCGACGCTGGGCACCGTCAAATGCGCCTGTCTCCTTTGACTCCCCCAAATCTTAACCACTACCAGCCTACTGTTGACCAGAAAGCTTACTGATAATATAAGTGGTCAATTAAAACATACTTCGTATGCTGTGTGTATCACGTACTGTATCCTTACAATAAGGTAAGCTAGAGAAAAGAAAACGCTATTAAGAAAATCATAAGGAAGCGGAAATGCATTTATATTTACTGTGCTGTATTTATTGACACTGTAAGTTGACATCTGTTTACAAGATGAGTCATCTGCCTGTCAGTACCTCCATCTACACTGTCTCCATCTACACTGTCTTCTGGTGTACAGATCACTGTAGCTGCTGTAGGTATTGCTAATGCTAGACGTCAAAAATGAAAAGATGACATGGAAAAGAAGTTCGTGTTTATTGACAGATATGACGATTCACGCATGATAACAAAGCAGCAGCAGTGTGGTTGCTTTACGGAAGCCGCGTGTAATGGGTAAAACCGGAGGTAGCCAGGAGACTGGTGGTGTTGAGGCTGTGCTGTCGTTAATGCCAGGAGTTGCGATTTAGTTCTGCACCTCCGTTTCGCGTTTGCTTCGACTGCAGATGGTGCCGGGTACAGTAATGCGTGCACAGTCTCGAGTCATCTTAACTTTCTATAATAGATTTGTGTGCATTCTGTGGTAGATAAGATCAAGCAGACCAATATCTATGTGTCTTTTATGCCTTCATGGCACACCTGACTTTTTCTTAATGTTCTCCACATTTCATGGCTACTTAATTGCTGGTTTTTTTGAACTGGTGTAAATGTTCAAAATATGGAGATTTTCTTTCAATAATATATTGAAAAAAATCCACATGTAAGTGGACCCATGCAGTTCAGATCCATCCATGTTGTTCAAGGGTCACCTGTAGTTGTCTCTTGTCGTGTAACAACTTAAATGTATCAGCTTAAAACAGCAAACAAACTTACCTGACACCGTGCTTACTGCCCGGGGAGGAACAGAAAGGTGGAAGTCCATTATAACTGGGCTGTTCTGGCTCAGGCGTCCTCACGGGGTTACACCGCAGCCGATTTTCAGTCACCGCAAGGCTCCCTGGGGGGACAGAGTTCTCTCTCAGGGGCAGTCAGCCACCTGGCCACCGTGCTGCCCACGGCGTGGCAGCCTGCCCTCCGGAGAGGGACGGAGTGAGAGGGGAGCTGGCCTGCTGGAGAGGCCTCCCGACTCGGAGCTGTCTGTCTGGCGGCTGACTGGGGCAGTGGTGCAGCATCCCACCATCTCCGAGATGCTGTCGTGCACACAGACCCACCCTGCCTGCGGCCGGGGGTGGGGGTGGGCTCCCACTCCACGCATGAGGCCCGCAGCCCCAGGAAGCAGGAGTCTGCAGCAGCCTCCTTGGAGGCCGGCCGGTGCCCACCGTCTGACGGACTTCGTGCTGACGAAGCCGGCGTGTTAGGCAAGGGGAGAGACGTGCTACTCATGTCACAGTGCGTTCTCAGGCTTTAGTTAGTGTTATGGAAGGAGAAAGAAGCAAGCCTAGCCATGAGCAGTTCTTTTCGATTCGGTCTTTATCTGATAAAACCTGCTTTAAGACAAGTTACACACCAACAACCAATTGCTAGTCTTTATGTCCACAGCCCTAATTAGTTTTCCTTGGGTGTTGGACCAATAGGGGGAAAGCTTTGGCCTACCTCTGCATCTCGTAGGGTGCACAGGGCGAGAAACGAGATGGTCATTTACTCCCTCTGTGCGTTAACACGCAGTCGTTTGAACACGGGTTAGGGATGCGGAGTTACTGCCCCCGACTCAGTACTGAAGTTGTCATCTGATCTCTTAAGTGAAGTGGAAGGTGACGCGGAACTACCAGTATGTTTTTCTGTGCCAATAGCTGCATCTAACTCATTTCAGCATTAAATGTATAGGTATGATAAATGTCAGTCCTACATAATCAGAGCTCAACTACTGGTAACCGCTCCCCCGCTGCCTGTGGCGTGCCCTTGCTCATGGACTCCGTAGCAGTGCTGTCCTCCGAGTAGCTGTGAAATCTTGGTACTTCTGCTTCCACCCATTTGTCTCAGGCCTCCCTGCTGCTCACTAGTATTAACTCAGAATGAGGACTGCTTCCCAGACATTTCCCCCTTGATGTATTTTTTCTCTTTCTCAGTTAGTCGGTGCTTGGTTGATTCAAGGCTAGAATCATCTCTTTCAATCTTCTTAATTATTCCATTATCATGCCTGCATGTATTTCAGTTTCCTGAGAACTTCTGAAGAGACTGTAATATCTCATGCAACTCCTGATATTCCCTTATTGTTGCACCGTCTGTGGGATCTTCGCTGGAGGCAGAAAAGGGGGTTTTGAAGCGGCTTCCTTACTGCCCAGGAGGTTAAGGAACTGGTTGGTAGTATTGAACTCGTGTCTTAAGTGGCCGTAGGATAACAAGGTTTTTTTCTGTAAATGTAGGGATATAGGAGAGAATATAAAAGTGTATTATAAATATAATGATAAACAGTGACATAATTGAAAATAGAATAAATTTTAAAATGTTATTCAGCCCAATTCCCTGATGAGGAAGCTGAGGCTCATAAAGCTTAGTGACTTGAAGAAAATGGGAGACCCAGTTGGAGATAGCTCTTGGGTCAATACTCATGTTTTCTATAAAAACAAAACTTTTTTAAACTGGCGTTCAGTTGCTACTGCGACTTCTCAGTAGATGACGTTCAGGCCTGTCG